ACTACATTACATCAATACATTCATAAATGTACATCTCTCCCCGTCAGTACATGAAGCCAGATTTTCAACCACTAGCACATATTTGTTTCTTATGAAACTTAAGCACTAAGTATTGACCAGTAGCACAGACCTATCACTATTTCTCATTTATTCATTAGTTTTTCACTGATATGTCTAACTGTCCAAGTATATCCGTTACTCATCATTGGATTGAAAATTTTCTAGTTATGTAACCAGCTTAATTTAAGTGATAATTTCTAGTTTAACCTTCTCATATAATCACACAAATGATGAATCTAAATAATGAAAACATATTTGTGATCACTCATGTAGACTTCTGGTATTTCAATTGGGTTTTTTTTCTGAAAAAAAAAGGAACTTCACATTAATGGTATGAATGAGTTTATGGTGCAAACAAGAATTATAGTGTGTACTACTTATATCTACATAAGTAGTATACAACACTAGTCAGTAATATATAATATCTAGCAACAGAATTTATCACTGACAATCATTAGAACACAAAGGTGACATTTTTGTTAATCATTTTCAGTCATTAATTTGAAATGTAAAAACAAAACAAAGTTAGTTAAATTCCTCTGAAATGTCATTTCAAAATAAGGAAGAGGTTAGTATCAGTTATTTTATGTGATAATACAAAAATGTAATAAAAATTTACAAGTATTGAAATTGCCTACGCAAATGTTTTTAAGTCAATATATGGAAATAAACAATTTATGGTTGTTTTAATTTCCATTCTACCTTCTGAACGTCGATCTCTTGAAACAGTAGAATATAGATCAAGCATATTTTACTGAATTTGATATTTTTATTCAGACCATAAATGGATCAATGTTTAGATCACCATTGGAAACTTGGAAGCACCGGATGATCGTTTCGTTTTAGTATGAAACTCCTCAGTAATGCTCATTCACGACTTCGTGTGCGGGATTAGAATTCAAAACCTACGCTACCAACCAAATTTCAATGTGTCCACTGGTCTAGGTGACCCGACACTGCGTGCACTATGTTGATATTAGATGGTGGTTGGAGGTAGTCAACCCGTGTCCAGGGTTTCCTGCTACTTGACACACTCGTCAACAAGATGTGCCTGTAATCTTGAATTTGGATTCATATAACTTTCTCATGACTTTAATTTCTTGTTGAGTGCAGAGCATTTTAGTAATAACGGTAACTGTGATAATTTCACTCTGATCTTGATGAAAATATAAATGAATGAAGGGAAACATCAAAACATTTCAATACACTAGTTCCTGCTTGAATTAATTTGTTAAATGTTTGATTCATAAATGCTTTTAAGAATACAATAATAAGAAAATCACGCTTCAGCATTTAATTCATTGGCCAATTTCAAAATAAAATATTTGAAATTCTTTTTTAGCGTATGTCCTCCACAACGGTGTACAATTTATTTCGATAGCACTGTATGACGTGCGTTAGAAAATCGTTGAAAAGTACAAATCATTGAATTACTGCTTCGTTCTAATCTGGAACTTCTCAAAAGTAAGCACCTATGCGTTTAGCAGGAACCGAACTCAGGAGTTTTGAGGCCCACAATAGATCGATTAATCATTGAACTGAGTTAGTCGTTTTCCAGTTTTGCCATAAAACATGCTGTTAAAATTCACATATACCTAAGATACATGGACGGCACATTAGTTGTTTGTGACGATAAAAATTAGTCAGAGGATATCTTACACTCCTTCAACTCATGCTATCCTTCCATAGACTTCACGTTTGAAAACAGGAGAGACCAATCAGTCTCTTTTCTCGGTGTGCATCTGATGAGAAGGAGTAATTGTTCCTTAGAGAGATACATCTTTAGAAAAAAAACATGGGATGGCTAGCTAACCAACTTCTATAGCTGGGTTCCTTTAAGTAGAAAGAGAAATGTCATTCATTCTTTATGTCACCGAATACATCGGATATGCAGTAGGCAATGCATTGACGAAGAACTCGCATCCTCAGGAAAACTTCTACGAAAAATGGCTATCAAGATGGTTTCATAGAACGGAATATGAAAAGAAGTAGTTGCTACAGGAAATCTGGTTGTTTCGTCCCAAGGAAAAACCTCTATATAAGTTCGGAATTTAAAGGTAATCGAATATCTGAATTAATCAAAAATAGTTTAACGACAACGATTAAAAGAACATTTAATGTGGCACTAGTAGAAACTTATTTTCTGTATCCATAAAAGATAAGCTTCCAAGTCCACATTTACCAGTTCATCTGCTCTTTTGGAACAAGGTACATTGGTCGAAGCCAGTGCTCGCTTTCAACTCGGATACAGGAACACAACCCAGTTTGGTTTTACAAGGGTGAGAGGAAAGCAGTTAGGAGCTCTTCACTTGAACACCCAATCGACTATAATCATTCTACTGATCCACAGTTTGATTTTAAGGCTGTATATATGATTCGTTCAAATCTTCCTAGATTTCTTCGTATCCAACTCCTAAAAATAGCCGAAGCTCTTGCCAACCATGAGCTGAAGACAGAACTATACGTACAAAAGGAGTACGTCATATCGTTATCTTGGCCTTAAGTTATTATTACTATTATTGTTACTGCATTTCTCCCTTTACTTATGTTTCATATTCTCATTATTTTATTCATAATTGTTCATGCTATCACTTTATTTATGTTTTACACTATATGACCTTTAATCACCTACAATTACTGTAACAAAAACATTTTATTCATCTTACCACATTAGAATTTACTAAGGCCACTGTTATTATTCGAATTATGTAATCTAGTATTATTATGTTTCTATTGCGTTATCTTGTTTAATCCCTGTTCACATTTCCTCAAGGAACTAGTAGTTTAACAAAACGTCTTCATATATATATGATTGTACAGCTTCATAATAAATTCGTTGAAAATAGATCCCTTCGTTGAACTTCGTCTTTTTTAAGTGTTAAATTTTAATATACTTTCACACATCGTGATTTCCAAATTTTATTATTTAATACCATTGGTAACATTAGTCCACTTGTTCTATAGATTTAATCTTGTCAAACTTTGTTCATTTGTCGATATGAAATTTTACGACATTAATTTCTAAGGTTCTACCATGTCAATTTATGAATAACCCATGGTTTCAACTTTATAACTTTAGTAACCTTTCATTGATAATGATGTAAAAATATGAGTAGCAATTTTGTTTCGATATATAATTATTAATATTTGAATCCATGAGAAAATTAAGGCTAGACCACCATGGAAAACCTGGAATCACTAAGCGGCCGTCCTGCAATAGTATGGGATTAATAAGCAGTGTACACCGACAACACCAATCGTCTGGCGCACAAACGCTCAAATTATAGACCATTGAGCCGGCCGGCATCCAACGCTGTTAATGTCTAACTTCAACTAACCCACGAAATTCACCCATCATTCAACATTGTCCTCAGTGAGTTACTATCTCACAACTGACCCGGTTGAACTCCACTGGTCACGGCTTCTTCCTAGATCTCTAGGAAATACGTTTTGGATACACACTGCTGAGGAGTTCCATACTAAGACGAGAGGTCTGTCCAATGTTTCCAGGTTTTCCATGTTTATCTATGTTTAATTAACTCATGAATTCTACTATTAAATTACTAAAATCTCCACAGAACTACCTTCTGATAATATAATTATTATATTTATCCCCTTACTAGATATTAAATTTTATTCTGAAAGTTGATTTCAATTAATTCTATCATATCTATCATGAAAAAGATAAGCTTAATTCTTTATTCCTAATGTGGGAAAATGAACTAATTTCCTTATTATTTTTTTAAGAAAAAAAAAAATCACAAAATCCTTGCCAAATAGATCAATAAAATTTAATTGATTTTGTTTAACTTCTATTTTGGGAAATATTTCATAATATAATGATACACAAAAATGTATACATGTGTACACCAACATAATACCGATGGTTATATGAATTTAGTAATTCATACATATATAAGGGTCCAAATGCAAATGTGTAATATAAGAATAAGCATCATTGTAAATGTACAGCTACAACATAATTGTGGGCGGATTTCTTTATTTAACCAATTATTTTGTTTTAACAATCTAAATAATATGCACATATTGATATATTTCAATAGTTTATAGAATATGTATTAAACAACAGAATGGGAATTAAGGTAATATTATATGAGTGTTATTTCAACCAATAAAATTCAAGTGTTTAGGAAATGATCGAAAGGTTTATAGAATTGATGTTTATGTAAATGGGTAAAAAATGGTGTATTGGAAACCAAAGTGTACATACTTACTTGTGTATATATGTATGTATATGTGTGTATATGTTTATGTGTACACTAAAGTCTGTACATATTTGACTGGTTACAAAAAAATTCACTTAAGGATGGTATAGACAATAGGTACCGATCATTATAAAACATGATGATTGTTTATATTTAATTAGTAAACTCGGTAAAATTCTGTTGAATAGTACGTATTCTTACTTTTTAGAAAGAAATAATTAATTCAACATTTCTGTATGATATAAAATTTTCGAAGAATCCTATTCAACAAGATTTCTTTGAAGAGTATCAAAGAACAGTGGAAAACAAATAATAATAATACCAACCTTATATATATATTAATACAAATATACATATACATACGTGAACTAGTCTATTCTCCAATATTTACATTTATCCATCGATATAATTGATATTCATTTAGTGTATGTACTATTAGTTATTATAATAGCCGAGTGTTGTTACAAAGTACTCCCCTTTACTTTTTCTTTCCTTAAATATCTCTTCTATCATATGTATATGTAAGTGTATATGTATACGTTGGTATTTTATTTAAACTAAACGATAACATCATTTGAGCACATTATGTACAATAGAATACATCAAGTTTATTTTCGTTTAATTCAATCTATCTAGAAGCAGTATTTGTAATCATTAAATTATAGTTGATCTCATTCCATTAATTCAATAAGTATATTAATACAAAAAAAAATTATGTCAGATAAAGCAAGTTCCTGTGATTCATCTGATTTCTCTGACGGTTATCCAACAACAACAACAATTAGTACAGTTGCATTACAAGCTGGTAATGCACGTATTGTACTTGCTGTATTACGTGTAAGTTTTCTATTGTTATTCATGTTCATTGTAATTATATTAGTTTTTTTAAAATTTTTTTAATTATTTAATTATTTAAACATAAATATTGGTACAAAGATGCATCAAATAGATATGCACCACATAAATCAGTCGATTTGTGTGAGGACTGGGATACTGTCCGAGTGCCCAAACAGAGACATTTGGTTTTCTTTTGAAGCCATACTCGGAGCCTTCGATCGAAAGATATAATCCACAAGGCAGTGGAACAACGTCAGGAGATGCAGTCTCGTGGTAGCCAGTGACCAACGATTAGTTCGTACACCACTTTTTCCCTCAGGATATTGGAGCCCATGTCCACCATTGGTTTGGGATCAGAGTTTTTCAACTCCCCTAGGTGAATTCTTCGTATCTACCAACCCGGTTAAAGTGCTGAACATTCGTTTTTCGTGCTTTCAATTTCGCAAACAACACTCCCGCCGTGAAATACTATAGCTCAAATAATATTTCTTCTAATTACACAACTGTTTTGAAATTTTGACAAATTATGGGAATAAATCGATATATATATAATTAAGTGTGTGATTAAAATCTAAAACTATCATTATTTATATGCTAAGATGTATAGTGGCTAACACTGGAATCCAGGATGCAATACGCACAATATGCCCATATGCCAATAAATAAGAGGCTGGGCTCTTAAGGATTGCACTCTTAAATATCAATAAGTAGATTCAAACAAACAATACCAAGTGAATTTATTACTAAGTATTACGTTAGTTTACGCATATTTTATAATGTTTGTGACAACTTTCGTCTTGACAATTACTGAATTCACAAATGACATTGGTTAAGAAATTTGTCTGATTATAAAGTGAATGGATTGTAACCCAGTTGTCTGCGAATAATGATGTTCGTTGTATAATTTGAAGGTTGTAATTTTCATTGTAAGAGCGACTGTATTGTGTATAGGACTGAGAAATGTATGATAAGTATTCATATATTACAACAAGAAGGAACAAAATGTAATACTGTGGTGTGTGCTACCGATCTCGACAGATATAAGTAATATGTATCATCAATCGAAAGTGAAATGTTTGGAGGCAGAAGGTTAATAAAACGAAGAAAAGAGAATGAGAACAGAGTGATTGGTGTGGAAAGGAAGAATCAGTCAAGTCTGAGACAATTGATTAACGTTTTGCAAATGAATTATTCACTGTATGCTTCTCAGATTTCACTAAGATGTTCTATCATTTTATATTAGATCACATTAGATTGTCCCCACTTGTGTTCTCATTCACTACAATACATATAACTAACGAGATTGTAGAGGGTTAGATGTGTACCTGATTTTTTAAGTCATTACTTTGAACTTAAATCTGTGAAAATAGTTGAAAACTCATTGCAGAGTATATGTATTGATTACTCGTATGATTTATATTTTTACTACAATTTTGATATACAATGGTGAACAATGGTGAGACTATAATTTATGAACGACTTGTGAGCGAGGTCAAAGTGGCATTGAGAATGTCCACCTACTTACTAGGGCTAAATGAGAGTTATAAACCTGTGTAAAGAATAAGTATTATGATTTCCAATTGATGGTTAGGGTTAAGAATTAGATTTAGGGTTTTCGTCATGAATCGATCTAATCTAAAATGTCAAAATGCTCTATAACCTATTGGATGAGTGAATTTCGCTCCAAAATGCAAGACCTGTTATCGTAAATCTGATTGATTCTTCCATAAACTATAGTTTCACCTAAACAATTATTCATGAACACTGAGAAAGTCGATAAATGTTTAATTAGTTTGGCATTCAAACTACTGAGGGGGTTTTTGATACCTTTTTATCATAGTTACATTTTAATCAGAGAAGGGGTTTGCGGAGACTTTAATAATTTAATAGTAGAATTCATGAGTCAATTAAACATAGACAAACATGGAAAACCTGGAAACATTGGACAGACGTCTCGTCTTAGTATGGGACTCCTCAGCAGTGTGTATCCAAAACGTATTTCCTAGAGATCTAGAGAGAAGCCGTGACCAGTGGAGTTCAACCAGGTCAGTTGTGAGATAGTAACTCACTGAGGACAATGTTGAATGATGGGTGAATTTCGTGGGTTAGTTGAAGTTAGACATTAACAGCGTTGGATGCCGGCCGGCTCAATGGTCTATAATTTGAGCGTTTGTGCGCCAGACGATTGGTGTTGTCGGTGCACACTGCTTATTAATCCCATACTATTGCAGGACGGCCGCTTAGTGATTCCAGGTTTTCCATGGTGGTCTAGCTTTAATTGACTGATGAATTCAACCATTAAAATACTTACATTTATTTGAAATATCTCTGCTTAGATAAAGAGAATTTTTAAAAACTCTTGGAAAACAGTTGTCAAGATGCAAGGAATTAAAACTCAATAATATGTACAAGTCAATACTGATAATATCATGTTTGTATGGTTTCATTTTTAGTGAAATTTGAAGGTTATATTGTCGTGAATCCCAGTTATGCCTTCGGAACTGTTTGTTTAAAGTCACGAACTATAGCGGTTAAACGACATCAGGTGTTCATTTAAATCAGTTTTCCCTAATTTATTGAACCGTATCAAGATGAGGTAGTTCAGTTTGTCGTTCAAGTGAATTCCGATTTCATTTCAATCACTTGACAAAATATGAGATACCCAAAACTTGATCTCAATTATAGAGTAAAACATTATGATTGTTAATCCTAACACTATGATGATTTTAGTTTAGAACGAAAAATCTTCTTACTCAAACTAGTAGTCCAGGATTAGTTATCTCAAATGATTCAGTATCTGCCATTGTAGTAGTCAAAAGTAAGTTTCAAAGCACACACAGAGAAGAGTACATGTTCACATTTCCGAATAAGTTACAAGGAATCTCAGACTGAGAAATACAATAGCTCTAAATAATTCAATAGCTTTGTCTTTAATAGATACCATGCATATCATTTATATTCCTTAAAGCTCATATGTGTCTATTAAATACAGTATAAACGAAACATATTTCAACATACTAATCTAAACAATTTATAATCTACAGGTTACGTGATTTCATAGTCTGTGTTTAACTCACTGGTTGAAACTGAATGTTGGAGCCCAATGATACTGCTCGAAATACTAAGAAAGCATTAGTTTCTTCAAAATTACAGACAAATCTTCCTGATGTGTAAAAGATAATGGAAATACGTCTCATTCTCACCTAATTGGTTGCGAATACATATATTTTTATTTATTTATTATCATTATTATAAGCCTTATTCAATATTATATTTTTGCTATAACATAGAATTTTCAGCACAAAGTATTTCAACAAGTTTCCCATTTCTTATTTCTTGATGGATCCTGAAGATAAATATTGAGTGATCGGCAATTAGATGTTAACAGTTCAGGAATTGACATCTGAATAATGTACATTCTTTTCGAGGTATATTGCCAGCAACCATAATGTCTCTGATTGAGTCCTTTTGTAACTTGTACAGTGAAATGTCGTAAACATTTCACAAACGCACGTGAATAAGTTATGAGACAAATAGGCATAATGATGTGTTAGAACAAACAAAAAATCCCCAGATAACTTGTTGAAATATCGAGATTGCAGAAACAAGTAGCTCAGATATTCAAGCACGCCGTCTAACGTTGTTAGCTTTATTAATGTTGTAAGTAATTAACAAAAGGTTGATGAAGATATAGTTCAAGGTTTAAGCAAGATTTTCAATAGTTTCCTGTCAACTGACCCCAAATACAAATGATATGTTTTGTGGCATACATAACAACAAAATGCAGATGGAACCTTAAATAAACATAATGTAATCGTTACCAAAACACTTAAAAGATAGTGTTGGTGACCGATACTCAAGGCATTTTTCGACACTTTTCAATGAAATACTCATTCAGTCATAGGCATCACTACCCTTTGTTACTTTTTAAAATAAACTTAATATAATTAAGTCCATTAATTTTTTATAGTATTGTTCATTTCTTTAAACTCCTATAAGCAAGAAAATATAACCTATTATCACGAATGTTTTTGTACAGTGTACGGTCGAAATTGATCATGTCAACAACCTGAAATGTCATCCTCTAATGAATGGTACTTATTTTACATACATTACTTTCTAAAAGTAGAAGAATCCATCGATAATAATCCTGGTTATCTATTGGTCATCATATATCCACCTCAATATTTAAGGAACTGAACATAAAATTAGATCACGTTGTTTATACTAATATCATCAGTATGGGTATTTGCAGAGATTGTAGTAGTTTTATTTAGTTGAACTCATGAGTCATTCTAAGCCAGATCATCATTGAAATTCTAGAAGCACTGGACTTAAATCGACTTGCAATTTCAACCTTGAAAATACTATAATCACCATAAATCTCCTTGCTGATTACAATCATGTCCTCACTAGTGACTGCCTTAAAAGTAACTCCTGAAGTTCTAATGAGAAGCCGTGATCAGTAGAGTTCAATACATATCGGATATGAGACAGATATCTACCTCAAGCAGTGGATGAACGGTTGCTCACCATCATAGATTGGTTAAAGTTAGAAGTGAACTCCTTTTGTAACCGGATCCATGATGTAGAGGCTGGGGACTTGCGCGCGAAGTAGAAGGCATTGAGTTCAAGTACCACCCGCATGAGCGTGAATGAGCACTGCTGAGGAGTCCTGTAATAGAATAAAACGACCGTCTAGCGCCCCCAGCTTTTAGATAGTAGTCTAGCTTCTTAAATGTTACACTTTGCAAAGCAGATCAGTGAGAATAACATCAGTTTATTACGATTTTTCCCTGGGTTTTTTTTACTAAGAATGATGGTACACTATTCTGTAAGATTCAGGTCAGGATATTTATGTACTGTGAAAAAATGATTCAATGAAACATCATTACTAAATTTATGACTAAATTATTTCATTCTCTTTGTCTTTGTTAAAGTGTGGAAGTTGGATACGTGTTCGAATTCAACGTATGGAGCCAGATCTTTATGATATTGGTGCAAGTGCTGATGAAGCCCGTTCATTACACGAAATACATCAACATTTATGTACCAAATTAGCGGTAAGTTATTTTTAGAAATAAAGAATAAAATTCTGTTTTGTTGATCTTATTGTCATTGGAATAGACATATATATACACCATCAACCCAGATAAGATATTGGTGTGGAAGAGTAGACAGTTTCTTATAAAACTGACAGTTGATTTCTAGTATAATAAATGGCGATAATTGACTTGTTGTCATTAATTCATTTTTGTATTGGTTGTTTGATTTTTCCAATTGACGTTTAGGACTGCAAATGATCATTATGTTATTGGCATATATGCATCCTGTTCGTTTTGATTCGATATTGTCTTAAGTCACATCCGCTTATAATGCAAAAACTAATGGCTATCTACATTCAGTAGCTTAGGGGATTATGTGATGTTGTTTGAAGCAAACGATACTGGACTCGAGTCCCAAATTAATCATCAACACATCTGAGATGCAAGTACATTTAACTGACGAGTCATGAATAGGACGAGCCATGCATTCTGGATTCCATTGTTAGCCATCACCCAATATCTGCTTAAAATGATTTGTTTTTAGTTGTGATTTAAAGTCCTTGAAATATCTTAAACATTTGGCTGCGGTCAAGCAACTCATGAAAATGATCATTATTAGTGATATTATATATATATATATATATATATATATATATATATTGACGTACAACTTATAGGAGTCAGACTTGAAAGAAAAGGATGCATCAAACTAACTCGAGAAAAAAACATAAGTGTTACAATGGTACTTATTTCATAAATGCTCTAGTTTGATTATTGTTGCCCTTAACTATTATTACCCATAACTTTATTCAATATTATATGTTAAGTACAATATGGAATTCTCAGCACAAAGTACATGAAATATGTAAACAAACTATCTGAAATGAACTGAAACTCTTCTCTAATAGGATAAGTACAAGTTTTTAACTAGGCCAGTTCTTACAACCTATTCTCCACAATGTATATTCATTAGATAAGATATTGTAGAGCTTTTATACCTTTGCATATATTCGTAAATTCTAATGTATTGTCATTTCATTCTACCAGAAGATAAACCAGGAGAAAAATCTGAATGAATGATTAATATCTAATAAAACAACACTTATCAGAAGTCTGTAAGATCTTAAATGTCTAAACCACAACCATATTCATAATGACCTCAAAAGATCCACTACACATATACACTGTTAACTGCCTTTAACTCTTTTCGCAACATAGCAAAATCTTTTGAATAATATTGTCCGACCGGCCATTTTTTTTAAAAAAAAAACCCCACCCCATAAAAAAAATTTTCCACCCCAAAATTACAATATTTTTCATCCCGTGTTTCGTCCAATGAAATGGCTAGTTTCAAAAATTAGATTTAATTGGTTAGTTATGTCTTGAAAATTGTTATAAATTATCAGTACTTGTCGACGAAGCACAATCTCAATCGTCATTATGGAGCAGAGTAACGTGCCGAGTACAAGCGCTGGTGTTTCTCACGTAACGGAAATGGAGGAAGTCTTTTTGACTACCTTGTTTCTGGTTGCGTTTCCATCGGTTGAAGCGTTAAAGACCACTATCACAAATTTTGAAAGATCGACTTACAGTCATTATGTAGTGAGAGATTCGCATATTGGCAGAGATCAAAAATCCTACATTAAATTTGTGTGTTGGCGAAATGGGCGTATAAGATCTAGCGGTTCGTCACAACGTATTAGACGGAGGAGGTAATTTGGTAAATTGTTTTATAATTTTTTGAACGAAGGGCTTCTATGAACACCCAATGTCCAGCATTTATGTTTTGTAAGATTATAGACGGCTATTGGACTGTTGTACGTGGGAATGTACATCACAATCACGAGTGCAATTCCCTGAGGTACCAGGGTAATTCATGGGTGCGCAGGTTAACGGATGGGGAGTTTGAAACTGTGAGACCGCTGCTGATTTCCGGTACCGCTGCATTCCACATAAAGAATTTTGCTTACCAATCTTATGGCAAATGTCTGACCGCTCAAGATGTCTGCAATATGCGGTACAAAGTGTTCTCACACGCGAACCTTCCTGGTACGGAATTTGCCAATTTATAATGTACACTATAGGTGATTACGGGAAATTGAAAGCTCACATAACATCCTTGGGTGGGCTTTGCGAATACGAATTGGACGATGAGAACTGTCTATCGTATTTCTTCTTCATGACCGCTGAACAAGTGAATTTGGCCGGTCACTTTTGTGACGTAATTGGTTTTGACGGGACGTACAAAACGAATAACGAGAACGTCCATTTATATCAAGTCGTTGCCCTGGATATGAATTTTAAAGCAATACCCATGTGCATTGCCTTTTTAAGTCGCGAAACGTCAACATTAATTTCTGCCTTCCTGCATTTTTTCCAACGGTGTACCAACAGTCGACAACTGGTAGGCATTGTGACCGATGATTCACCTGCAATTGCTGCTGCTATTACGCAGGTGTATCCGGATGCACACCATATTCTGTGTCGCGTACACCTTGTTCGGAATGTGATAAAGAGGGTAAGTGTTTCGTTCATTAACATTAACCCAGTAACCGTTATTGTAGAGGGTGCGATCAGAAATTGTACAACTGTTCTTTCGCCTCATGTTCACTCGAACGGTTGAAAGGTAAATCAAAATCTACATAACATGATTTTGTAGTTTTAACAACGTACTTTCGTTAATCGAAATGTCGGACGGAACGTTTGGCAGATACGTCAGAGACCACCTTCTACCACGGAAACACAAATGGTCCACTGCTTTTCGACCGCCATCCACTCTCTTTGAACTGAGCAATACTAACTTCGTCGAGACCAGTCACCGAGTCTTGAAGATGTATCACCTTAATCGAAAAACACCGGTTCTCAGATCCATTTTCAATGTGCTGCTTCGTACTGGATATTGGATGGAAGCAAGATTACATAAATATTCAATGGATTGTCGGGGGAAAGCCGATATTGGTGAGGAGCCGGAAGTACGTCGACTTCAGGAACGACTGACACCAGTTGCCTGTCAACTACTGAAGCGACACCTTCGCATTCCTATAACGCAGTCTGCATTGACGGAAGATTTATTCACCGCTATGGACGCCACGGGGACGTACTACGTACACGTCGATACTAGCCGGTGCTCGTGTCCATTCTTCATTGAAAACGGATTACCATGCCGTCACATATTGGCTTACTGCACACACAGTAACACCGATGTGAACGTACAGTCAATTTGTGACAGGTGGTTACACTATGATGGTTATCTGACTCATATTGCAGTTGAAAATTATTTCCCAATGCAATTGAGTCAGCCAAGCATGAAGAATGCAGTGATAGCGTTAATCAGGCGAATGTCGGAGGAACAATGCAGTTCACTTCATGACTTCATAGTTCACGGTAGACTACCAACAACGCCAGTAAACTTGCATGTAGAACAGCATTCGTACACCCTTTCAAGAACCTCGACTAACGTAGCAGTGCCGTTTATACAACGAGGAACTGTTGATTTGGATGAAACGCTCAGTAACGATGAGGAGGAAGTAATTTCTATTAACTCCGAAGAGTTAACTGAACGGGACATCGAAAATGAAGAACAGGATGACGAGAATCGACTCTGCGACATCTGTAATCTTGCGCAGCCTCCATGTGAAACCGGTGATGCGGTTGGTTGGGTTTTCTGTAGATGTGAAGCAATGTTTCATACCTTCTGTGCCTACGACCCATCGCCGAACGTACGAGCAGTGCACTGTCCTATCTGTGGCGCCATTACAAACTAATAGTGACGACGTCCGACCGCGAGAACGAGTAAAGGCCCTTTTCAGGGCCACCCACAATTTGATTTCCATTATTTTTTATCTACTACTTTTCCGCGGCAAAGGTCAAGTGATTAAGCACCTATTAATGTCTCATGAATTTAGATATCCCTTAGAGATTAATAATGGAAAAGCGATTGTCGCTCATGTATTCGTAAACTTGTTTCTAACGTTTATTAGATATGAAGGTTAAGAAAACTTAGACAAGATTTTGTCATCTAATAAAGACTAATCTAGTAATTTTATATTTAAAATAATGTGATTACCGTTCATGTTTTAGTAACACATTTGAAATCTATCTAATAATAGTACATTTTGAGTACATTTTAATAGGAATATTTCAATATAGTGAAAATTGTAATTTTGTCGTTAGGTCAATGAATTTATGATGACATTTATTAGTGAATATTATTACAAAGATGAATGTGATTAAAGCTCATAGAGAAGTAACCAAAATTGAGAAAATTAACTTATTTAGGAATAAAATAATGACATTAGAAAACAAGTTGAAACCATCATCGTTGAAATGATTCATGTGATAAAAGGTCATATAGTAAGTGTAAAAAGAAATGCGAATATTAGCTGTTTCATGAATACAAAAAACAAGAATTTCATATTCTTGTTTTATATTAAAAGTTCCTGAAACCAGAACTATGCGTACGTAAGAAGTACGTCTGATCGTAAACTAAGCCTCCATTGTTATTCATAACTACTGATTATATCACCGTATTCATTTGCACACCTCTTCAACTATTTATTACTGGTACAATCACATTGTACCAGTTAAAAATTCCCTTAAAATATTCAAAAATAAAAAATAATTTAGCAAACAATCGTTTTCATTAACTTCATCATCACACTATACAGTTATTAGTCCATAATTTTAATATTTTATAAAGTCCAAAAATAAGGCATGGCATTAATGAACTTGACAATGTAATGTGTTAACAATGGTTAACGTTTACATCTGTAACGATATATATGTTTACAAATTAAAAAGGTCATTCACTAAAGATCGGGATGATTTGCAGTAAAGTGTTCAGTCACAGTAAGTGACTAAGCATAATAGGAAAATTGAAAATGCAAAAAAATTGGTGTCAATGAAATACATAGTACAAGAATTGAATCTTGTAAATTGACATAATAATAATAATAATAATAATAATAATAATAAGGAAATTAAATAATAATAACATTGTAAATGTCCGTTGATACAGT